CGATTCAAGGCACTGGTTTGTGGCTTATCGGCAGTCGGGACACGCGATCTTCATCACTCGCGCACAACGCATAGCGCGCGCACCATTAAGCCACTAAGCACGCACTTAGGCAATGCTTAGCCAATTGATCAAGCCAAATTCCCTCCATAAGAATTACCGTGTAGGGAATTTTAAGGATAAATGTTGGGGTGCAAGTTGTAGGTATGAGTCACCTACCTACTTATACACATGGCGACGCACGGGGCCGTGAGTGGTGACTAAGCCCGTGCATGCCCGCCACATCGGCCGATGACTAAGCCAAGCTTACCAACACATCAGCCACGTTATGGACACTTGTCATCAAGGGAGGAATTCATCATCCAACACCTCTTTGACCCAAATGACCCAACGATTTACTCCCCCTTTTTAAATACCGTGCGTGTAATTTTTTCCATGCATTTTCATGCACGAAATCGAGACCAACTTCAGCAAAGAATAGAGAGAAAAATAGTAAGGAAAATATTGTGAGAAAATTATACAAAAATAGCTAAGGAAGGCGGAAGCACAAGGGAAGTACGTACGCACGCGTTCAAGCTTAGCACACGCACGCACATCACCGCGCAATTCCACGTCCGAACTGAAGGGTACATTCTTGTTTACCCTCTTTTTATGTATTTCAGTTCATTATAAGAAGATCATGTCGAAATCTCGTTGTTCGGTCTGAGTTTTATATGAAAACGGCCTCGGAGATGCCATATAAGCTCCATCCGAGTAACTTAAATTTTTAACCGGCAAGTCCCGAACACTTTATGCATATTTAAGTAATTCAAGTCAAATCATGTCCAGTCATAAGTGGATTGCTGGAAGAAGTAGCCAGACGGCCGGCGAAACACCGACCGTGGTGCCTACCGCACGCGGAGTGCGCGCAGGCACGCCCGGCAAGCCCAGCGAGTGCACAGGCAGCATCCGCGCGCCCAGTAACGCGCAAGCGTGCCCGGTACTCGGCAGTCAGGCCCCAATCATGCGCGTAGACGTGCAAGGTGCGCGTCAAACACGCTAGTAGCGTACACCACAGCGCATCACATGCCCAGCCGCGTGTCCTACGACGCCGGTACGCACGCCAACAGCGTTCACTGCACACTGGCCAACAGTCACGCACGCCAGCACGCCCAGCAGCGTGCCAGCGGTGTCCAGCGAGCCTCGGCGATGCCCGACAGCACGCCCGAGTGCTCCGTTGTTCTAGTACGCATAGCCTATGCACCAGCCGCCTGTCCGTGATGCGTAGTTGTGTCCGGCAGTGCTCGTGCAAGTCAAGGCCGTCGCCAGCGGGCACGGCAGTCACCAGTTGTACTCAGCAA